CCTATTTTGCTCTAATTTGGTGCCAGAGGTGACAGCTTGAAGTAAATGTCTGCAGAAGCATCAAATCTATTTTTTTCTCAGTTTTTCAGTCACAATATATGGCAAATCGACATTCACATTCCATGTAGGCTGTCACAAATGGTAGAAACTAACTTATTGTTTTATCTGCTACATTTAGGAAAGAGGCTAATAGTCCAGAATTAAGAAACAGTATAAAACTGTACTTGAACTGAAGTGCTACAAGATACAGGTTAAAATTTAAACTGTGTGAAGGCTTATGAAAGGGTTAGCTATCTATGTGAAGTTTTCAATTTCAACAGTAGGAGGGAATACTTTCTTTTTCTTTTTTTTTAAAGTGAATAGGGCTGCAACTAATGATTATTTTCATAAATTGATTAGTTGGATGATTATTTTTTCGATTAATTGGATAAAAAAAATGAAATACCATCCTTAATTTTAAATAAAATACACAAATGCAGTGTTACAAACAAAGCTTAAAATAAAAAAAAAGCATGCACCATTTTTTACAATCACACTGCACTGGAACACACAGCATTGCGGTACCGTGCGTTCCAGTGCGGGTGATCACACTGTGGGTGAGAGGTACGTTTGGGTGCCATTGAAATGAATGGCACTGCAACACACCTCCCGCAGCAGAATTTGTTAGGCTGACACCGAAAATTACTTTTTTTCCTACCTTTATAATTTTTTTTCTTCAAATAATTGTATTGTAAGCACATGGCTCTTAAATAACTTCAGCCAGGGAATGACAGCTGCCAGTGGCAAGATTCCGCAGAGGGCAGATGAATGTAAATACAACAGGTAGTGGGCTGATGCAATAGGCAGCCTGCTATTGGCCATATCAAATTGCAATAGTAGGCTGGCTATTGCACCCAATAGCCAGCAAAGAGCTAGGGGATCCAAAGAACTAATCAATAATGAGAATAGTTGACAACTATTCTTATTGTCGATTATCGATTAGTTGGTTGCAGCCCTAGAATATAATTTTAGCGTTGTATTTGTACAATGTGTATTTATGGCTACTAGATAGAGCACAACAATTGGGCTCTGTGAATGTTTTATAAATACACCCCTAAGTGTGAGGCGCTTCATCCTTGCTGCCTATACTTGCTGCCTATACTTCAAAGTATGTCGCCAGAGTTTTTCAACTGACCTCCTTCAGCTCTCTCTCTTTCCACACAATTACTTTTGTAAAACATTAACCCAGTCATCCCCCACACACACACACCCGTGACATGTCTGCAATGTCTGTGATCTGCCTCAAAAGCATGTTCATCAACATGATGAATATTTGCTCTCTCTGTGCATTAAGCCCTCTGCATCCTGCCCCCAGCATGTAAGCAGTAAACCCTTGACACACAATCCCCAGCTCTGGTGCATTAATCCCTCAGTGTCCTGTCTCAAGCATATGTGACAACCCCTCAACACACTTCCCTCAGCACTCATTCCCCAGTGGAGGTGTTAGGAGGCATGTGAGCAGGTATGCTCACACAATTCCCCACCACCACTTTCCCAGTATAACCTGCTTTAGCTTTAGCAAGCCGTTTCCTGCACATTCATTTTGAACTCTATTTTTCCTTTGTAAAACCCCATGTGAAAAGCTACCTAATAATTAGTCAGTTTTGTGAATGGGTGCCTAAATTCATTATTCATTAGGTTTGTTCAGTCAAGCTTTGAACATGAAAGATAGAAGCTGATTGGTTGCCATGAGCAACTGCTGCAGATTAATGTCTGCTCCAGTTTTATAAATTCCTCTTAATGTCAATGCTAATGCTACCTGCTAGTTGTAGAGTTGTAGCAAGTGTCAGACTTAGGCTGGGTTCACACCTGGGCATACTATAGGCGCGTTTTTTCGTTCAGTGAAACGCGTGTTTGACACTCGTTTTTATACCTCCCTGGCGGTATGATTTTTTTCCCCCTTTATTTTATCTATCTTTTTTCATTTTTTTTTTTACTTTTCAAAGTTCCCGCCGGTTCCACCCCCTGCGACGCGGACACTTGCAAGGGACGGAACCCGGAAGACGGCAGCGGCCGGAGGACACAGCGGGGATCGTGGACAAGGTAAGACCTACGCTGTATTCCAGAGTGTTGCTCAGGGTTCTTGCTTTGTGAACCCCGAGCCACACTCAGGAATACCAATGGATATGCGCTGAAATACGCCCCAAAGAAGCTCCTTTACTTGTTTGGGTGTAGGGAACGCCCTTGTGGGAACCATGCCCATAGGAAATTATGGGATTTCACTTGCTGAGCGTTTTTCAGCGCTTCAATCAGCGCTGAAAAACGCCCAGGTGTGAACCCAGCCTTAAAGAGGAACTTTACCCATATTTTTAAAACAACAAACACACCTTTAGAAATGTTTAGTAATGACAATTTATAAACGCATAATTATAGATAATTGCCGGCTTTGTATTCTTTGCATACCTTGTTTCTCTTTTCTTTCCCAGTCTTCTGGCACTGGCCATGTTAACTAAGGGCAGGTTACTAGATCTTACTTTACTTCCTGAAAATATGGCACATTTTACTAGACATGTGACCAGGACATGTGACCATGCACATCATCTCAGGGTGATCTCAGATTACAGATGAGATTTCCCAGCAATGCTCTGCTGCTGGCTGCACTATCTGGCCATATACTTTTAAAAAACCCCTCATGTAGAGGGAAATGCGTCAAGGCAAGTGGCTATTACAGCCTGTGGAGCCATTTTTGTTTGCCTGTGGAATAGACTATCTTTACAGCAAATATTCAATATACTACCTATGAGCCATAAAACATATGCAAGGACGTCTGCTTTCACAAAACAAGGTTTCACCTTTGAACAATCCAGTGTCCGTTAAGAACCGGGACCTGGGCAAGAATCATACAATATATATGCTCTATATGTGCAACAGTAAGATTCTATAGACTTCTTTTGTGAAGTGCGATATCATATAGCACCTTGAAGTATTGGATGTACACTAGGGGGCAGGGAACCCCCAGCCCCTCAGGATGTGTGACATACTGTGAATCACCCTTTTGAATATATATGACAAGGTGAGGTGTCATGACAAAATAGGATTGGTCCAACAGATCCCATCTTGAGATACATGCATATGTGAATGTACAGAAGAGACCGTGCCCTATTGACAACATTAAGGACTCACTGGAAGTTTATAAAAGATCCAAATACACATGATGGCCTGCATGCGTTGTTTACAAATGAATACAGGAAATGCCTACAGTACTGGACTTTTCATCCACAAATGTGGTGGAAACCATAGCAATGAAGGGCATTGATATATGCTAAACAGAGTAATCTATATGGAGCATTTCTGAGTCACATGCACACTATGCCCACAAGAGTCAATTCATTGTTTCCTGGATTTACAACTTTCAGTCCTACAATAGGCTCTACAATCCAAATTGGCATACACATCAGTTGTTCCACCTCTTCCAAAATGATTTCAAGTCTTTCCCTGTTTGCAAACAAATTATATTCCTAGAGATAGCATTTGCAGCACCAGGATATACAGTATCCTGGAAATATTAGTAATTATTGGATGGTTCATAGTGGCTCCACAGGCATGCTGGGGATATTTTAAATGTTTTTAAGCAAGGGGGGTTTATGTCATGTTTGTCATATTTTGGTTTATTTATGAAGTACATTAAAATTGTGACAATTGTTCATATATGTGTGGCGAGACTTTTGTGGCTTTGAGTACCACTGGTACTGGAGGTCTGAACATTTTGTTTCTATTCAATGCTTTGCTGATATAACCTTCCCAGGATGCTTGGGCACAAATATAATTTGTGCCAGAACTGGACCAGGAAGTAGATGAACTGTATTTGTAAGTAAATAAAAAACAAGTTTTTTTAACTAATTAATGTAATATGATTTTAGATCAGGATGCATGCTGATGTGACTTTTAGTAAAGGGGGTAAAGGTTCGCTTTCAGTAGGGATTCTATTACTGAAATCCCTGAAGTTTATAAAATCATCAACCTGTTTGGTAGGATGTCAACAATGGACAGTGATCACAAATCAGTAAAATTGCTTTCAAAGGGAAAAAGCCCATTCACATTGTCAGGAGGGAGCCATGATTCTATAGGCTGTTTGCCATCCTCATGGGAGGAAGGTCTGAAACACTGTGGGGGGAATTTAGCAAAATGTGGAGCAGCTGTGTCTGGCAATCAGGGTCTCCCTTCAGTTTATTCAGTTAAGATTTGAAAATGCAAGAGAGAGCCGATTTGTTGCCATGCACAGCTACTCCAGATTTTGTCCGCTCCAGCTTTGATGAATTCCCCTCTATGTGTATATGAAAGTCATTTGCAGCTGTAATAGTTTTAAAATATCCTATGCCTGGAACAGCAGGCTTATCCCCTCAACTTTACTCAATGACTACAAGTCATTATCTGATTGGGAAAGATGGAGAGGAGAGGTGTATGACATCATGATCTACCCTTGTCCAATCAGAGAATGCCTAGTATTCATTAAAATAATGAATGAATGACTGTCTATACTTACTGTAAGAGACAGGAAGTCGCTGCAGCACTGCTGGAAGATTGAAAGGGCACACTGTATATAGCGCAGACTACAAATGAAAATCTGAGCATCCCCTGCAGCCATCTGGACATTATATATGAATTATTACATTTTTTTTTCTGTCGTTCCGCTTACCATAATCAACATTGTCTTAAAAGATCTAGAGGCCAGGTTTCTGCATTGTATCTTAGGTTAACACAGTACACAACATCCAGAAAGTGTCACAATGGAGTCCAGTGCCTGAGGGTCACATTCCAGAGTAGCCCCACAATTGTCCAGGTACAACCTTCAAAGTTATTGATGAGGATACATCGATCCAGATAGCTGCTAGAAACTAACTCAAGCACCAATTGAAACCACCAATGAAAAAATATCTGCGGCGTAAAAAGTGTCTTGACTGAAAGAAAAATATAAAGAAGAAAAAAGCTATTGAAAATATGATGAGTAAGAATCAACTTACCTAAAACATCTACCCAATCTTCTTCTGGTCCATTTTCAAGTACGTCATGGGACTTTTCCTCTTTTTCATCATTCTGAGTTTTCTCCTTTTCCTGGCCCTCAACAGTTTCCAATAGTGGGAGATCACTCAGATCATCATCATCATCATCATCATCATCTTCCCCAGTACTGTCAATTATTTCAAACTCTTCAGTGCTGTCCAGAAGGGATGTCCTGGCTCTTGTTTTTGACTCATTTTCAGAAAACTGTGCACTGTCAGATCCATCATCATGTGTTGGTGAATCATCTACATTGCAGTGTAGTTCATCTGCAGAGGCCATCCTCTGGATGAAGATATGAGGATGAAACCTAGAAGGAAAAAAAAAATATTCAGAACACTCCCTTTTTGTGAAACATGTTTTGTTCCTAGAGTCTGACCACATGCTACCCTACAATTAACCCAAAACCATTTTCTGTCAGGCAAAGTTTGATCCTGTGGGGACACTAAGGGGTGTTTTTTAGGGATGCACCGATATATCGGCCGCCGAAACATATCGGCCGAAAATGGCACTTTTGGCATAAAGCCGAAATGCCATTTTCCTGCCGATACATCGGCGCATCCCTGATTTCTTTCCTCCCCACTGGGCGCTGCTCTGTGTCCCAGCGAGGAGGAGAGAAACTGTGGTAGCCGGCCGAGCGCTGCGGGAGGAGCGGCCGTAGTCTCCTCCCACACCGCTCAGCCGCCTATCACAGTCCGGCAGAGCGGTGTGGGGGCGGAGACAGCGCTGTCACAGGAGGCTGGGCTTTCCTCTCTACACCGCTCGATCAGCCTCCTGTGACAGCGTGTCAGAGAGAAAAGCAAGGTACACACACTCAGCGATCAGTGATCGCTGAGTGTTTGCTGATAATTGAGGATATGGTATGTTAACTATATCCTCAATTATGAATGAATGGGGGTTATGTATATCACTCACATTCATTCATAATTGTAGTTATAGTAAACATGCCATGTACTCATGTTATCAATGAACAGGAATCCTCTATGAGTGTTCCTGTTCATTGATAACAGGGGACACAGAAATTCTGTGTTCTCAATCTCTTTTTCTGTGTCCCCTGTTATCAATGAACAGGAATCCTCTATGAGTGTTCCTGTTCATTGATAACAGGGGACACAGAAATTCTGTGTTCTCAATCTCTTTTTCTGTGTCCCCTGTTATCAATGAACAGGAATCCTCTATGAGTGTTCCTGTTCATTGATAACAGGGGACACAGAAATTCTGTGTTCTCAATCTCTTTTTCTGTGTCCCCTGTTATCAATGAACAGGAATCCTCTATGAGTGTTCCTGTTCATTGATAACAGGGGACACAGAAATTCTGTGTTCTCAATCTCTTTTTCTGTGTCCCCTGTTATCAATGAACAGGAATCCTCTATGAGTGTTCCTGTTCATTGATAACAGGGGACACAGAAATTCTGTGTTCTCAATCTCTTTTTCTGTGTCCCCTGTTATCAATGAACAGGAATCCTCTATGAGTGTTCCTGTTCATTGATAACAGGGGACACAGAAATTCTGTGTTCTCAATCTCTTTTTCTGTGTCCCCTGTTATCAATGAACAGGAATCCTCTATGAGTGTTCCTGTTCATTGATAACAGGGGACACAGAAATTCTGTGTTCTCAATCTCTTTTTCTGTGTCCCCTGTTATCAATGAACAGGAATCCTCTATGAGTGTTCCTGTTCATTGATAACAGGGGACACAGAAATTCTGTGTTCTCAATCTCTTTTTCTATTTTAAAAGGGAAATATCAGGGGTCTGTTTAGACCCCTAATATTTCCCCAAAGCCCCTAAAAGTAATGTAAAAACTAAAAATATTTAATAAAAAAATGAATAAAAATATAAAAACAGTAAAAAGTTTATTAAAAATAAATAGAAATAAAATATTTAAAAAATGTGAAAAAATTAAAATAAAAAACATTTTCGGTATCGGTTTCGGCCTGACAAATTTTTTTTATTTCGGTTTTAAAACTGATGCCTGCGGTTAGCAGGACATCTATATACAACTAGACAGATAGCGTATCACAGTAATGGAAAGGCACAGGATTGGCACCTCTAGTATTTTTATAAATCTTCCTTGCTATAGCATCTATAAATGCTATTTGCATGGCATTCCTACCACTAGATGGAGCTACTACTGTTGATCTTACATCAGTATCTATCTTACACAGTATATACTGTGCTGCTCATTCGCAGCAGGTAGTGTTCACATAATGTAATACAATAGAAAATTGCTAGAAGCAAGGGAAGAAGAGCACGTTGGACTGCAGCAGAGCGATCGTGGTTCTTGCACAGAGCATAACAGTCCTTCTCTGCAGTAAAATGAGAGGCAAGGACTTACTGGGGCTGAAGGAAAATGTAAAATGTAGACATACAGTATAACGCTGTTTTATTGCACCTTATTTTATTTTTAACATTTGCTCTAAGAATTATATTGAGCTTTAAAGCTTATTCTGCTGACTGGAAAGAAGACCATATAATAATTATATGCAACACTTTTTATTTACCTGACTAAACAACATATACAACATATAATTAAAAAAATATATAGTCCTGATCGTAATACATAAAATATGCAAAACTACCACAGATTGCCAAAGATGTGAGTGCATCTAAAAATCTGCTTGAACCTTGATTATAGCTTTGCAATGCATGTTAAGGGTTATGCTTTTCACCTTTAGCTTGAGCTAAACTAGCTTAAAAGGAGAACTATGTGGTGAGTGCTTTTCACTCACCTCATAGTTCTAGCCGACCTGTGACAATGACACTGTCACAGGTCGGCTCAGTAGATCGGGAGGTGAGCAAACGAACACATACAAGCTCTCTGCCGTGACAGGTGAGGGGCTGGATTCCCCCCTCCCCGCTCCGATCCGCCAGCGCTGACTGGCGGATCGGATGGGGGAGGGGGCGGGTACAGCTGGCTCTGCCTCTAGATCAGAGCCAGCTGTCACTCACGCAGCTGGGCGGATTCAGACATAATTTAGGGATCGGCTGCGGCGTCTCAGTATACTGTGGCGTCTCAGTATATATACTGAGCTTAGGGTGACGGGAGGACGCTAGTTTGTGTCCTCCCATTACCCTAAGGAGAACTATAGGGAAAAGCCTTAACCCCATAGTTATCCTTTAAGCAAAACTTGTCAATATAATGTCATTCTCTGCATTATCCTTACTTCTGGATAGGCACAAGGCAATCAAAAGTAGAATGCACCACTACCAGACACCTTACCTTATTGTAAAGAGTTGGACACAGATGTGATGAGGTGGAAAAAATTATACCATTAAAATAGAAGTAAGCATTTTGACATTTAATTGCAATTTGAGATTTTGCTAAATACATAAAAACCCTTTTAATGAACAGGACAGGCCAGCATGATTAAACTATATGATGGCCAATAGATATTTTCCTATTAAAAACACATAAGTCTGTTTTTAAACTATTCTATGTGCCCCAAACCACCTGTATGACAGCTATTTTGCTGAAATAATTTGTGTAAACATTACATATTTTAATGTCTACATTTATGGCTAAAGTTTATACTTTAATGATTAGGGTTCCCAAGGAAGACTGGCAACGCTGGAAAAAAATTATGTTATATTCAGTAATTGCTTGGAAATCATAGCAGTCTGTCTTAAAGCACCTGAAATATTACAGTGGATATTATGTTACAACTGCCAGATTTCAGATTTAGAAGCACTGAATACGTTAAAGATTTTTCCCAGCTAATTAATGAATTTAATGGTTCATAAAGAGTTCTTTGTAATAACAAGTTCCAGCATTTTACCTCTGAATTTCTGTTCATTTCCTCCTGTAGAAATTTTATGTAGGGCAGTTTCAAATTAAATTACATTTCATGGCTTTTTATAGAAATAAGAACATTTGGTAAAAAAAAGCCAAGCAATTGGAAGCTAATGTTCCAAAAGAGTTGAGTATTTTAACACCTTAAATTGTGTGAATATTCACTTCAGTTATCCAATAATGCCAAAATTGAATTCCTGTTTACTTATTTCTTCAGAACATGATTAGAGAATTGAAGTGAATATTCACACACATAAATGTGTGAAAACTCATCTTTTTTAGTAAATCAGCCTCTTGGTGATTTGGAAGAAACCGCCAAACGTAGAAGAAATCTATTCTAATAGAAATATAGGCTACTGTTCATGACCGGATTGGCTGTCTGTGGCTTCTATACTTTGAGTCACTATCCCAAAATAAACAAGTATGCAGTAAAGTCATAACTCCTGATCTGCATACCCGTG